AGAGAAAATAATTACTTTACTTAGATTTGCCTTTACGACGTTAGCTAAATGAACATTGACTGATCAGTCAATTCCTTAGTCCAGTATTAGATATTTGTGTTCATTTTCTTCAAGTTGTGTTATAAGATGGTCAAATAAACGTGGGGATGGGGATGATGTTTTCCTCTGGTCACACTTTTGCCCCATGGACAGGGTTTTCGAGAGTCCAACACCCACCAATCTCTATCCCTTAAAGTTAGGTTAGTCAGGAGGCCCACCTACCTCCTCTCTACCCCGGAATGATCACAGACTCCCTGAGGGAAGGCCCACCTACCTCCTCTTCATCCCGTCATTGTGTGCATCCTCTTGGGTTGCAGGTTTGTTTTGCTTGACACTCCCGGGGTTCATTGGGTTTAAATATTAAATATTTATAAAGTTTAAAATTGATTACTGAGTATTTTGTCACCCACTTCTCCATTTTCAGCCACACAAAGTTGTTGCTGTCCTTCAGTGGGAAACAAGGGGACGTTGATTAAAAGGGAAGCGGGACGGAAAAGGGCACCTAAACCTTTCGAGACGGCAACAGTTCCTTTAAGCACATCCGAACAGATAAATAGTTATTAGGGAAGCTCCAAATCAACCAAACCGGCTTCTAATGCATAGAGAAAACCATTTGAAGTATGTCTGTCTTATCTGGAAACATTCGATCGTTTGGTGACCCTTATTTTTGAATCTGGTCCACGTTAATTTTCCCAAAACTTTCCAGGCCGTCCATATCCGTCTTTATAAATCACGTTGGAAAAAGCCCGTCAATTTCAAGTCCTCTTTGCTTGGTTCTTCTCGGCAGCCAAAGAAGAACCACTGTGATTAACACTGTCAGCAAAGGACAATTTCTTATTTAAAATTCATTCCGTTTTAATTCGGACTTTTCGTCATCCTGGAACCTACCGGAAATTCGGTTTAAACTGATTAGATAGCTACAAATTTTTGTTTTTATATTTAGTAGGTGTAAAATAAGAACAGTATTTCATAACAAATTTTAAGAAGACTCTTACCTCGAAGTAATAACGGTCGTAAAGTCAACAAAGCGATAGAAACTAATGCCTGATTCGATATTAAACCAGACAAAATATATTAAGAATGGGTGAGATTAAAATTCTTTTCAATTGATGTTTGCTTTTCTTGACTTTTGACTTCCTTTTCACGATTTTTTAAATTGCTAACTTGTTTGAACCTCTGCTCATGCATTTTATCTGGTAAATTTTCAGAGGGTTACTAAAACAGCAACAAAGTCTGAAGAGCATACGCCACAGTCAAAGATGCAACGCAGATTGCAGCCGGTTAATTCGAATAAAAAGAGGTCATTAAAAATGGGCTAATCCTTGGTGGTTTACTTCGAATGAATTGTCACGAGTCCTATTGGAAACCTTCCTAAGTAGTCTTTTACTTAGTAGAATGTTATTTAAGTGTAGCACTTACCATAATCACCAAATTTATCTAAAATGCCTGACTTTTATGCCATTTCTAACACTTTAGTCCTCCTAGTTCACAATGCTAACCGTGTACCGATAATGATTTAACGAATCAATGACTCGGCTCGTTGAACATACGATACATAAATATCACCCGACCCCAAGGATAATAACCTCTATGACGCAATTTCAACTAAATAAGCGTCAGTCAGTCAAGATATTGCTGTTAGGTCGATTCAAAATACTGTTAAGTTTCCCAGGTTATTAACAAATGCATTCAGACGTCGTCTGCAAGTAATCCACTCAACAAATATTGACTTTTAACGGTCGCTTCATAAGCCTAAGATAAGAGAAGCCGTTGTTGTCTGACGCACTATTTATGAACCAGTTTAAAGTGCGCTTGACAAACAGAAACGAGGTATTATTGCTCCTGGCTTTTCGAGATGTATTTTTTGAAATTAACAAAAAACGATTAGTGTTGATTAATCAGAACTCAGGGTTTAACTTCAACGGCAGGTTACATTTACGTACTAGGTGATCGTGGGGCGAAAGTCCCTTAAGATCACCCGACTTCTTCCCGGCTTCATCGCGTAAACCTCACCTATAGCTACCGGTCGTTATTGAGTCTACATGGTTCGTGCCCATCAAAACAGTTTTGTCCACAGGCAGCCCAGATTCTACGCGAGTTCGTTAAGGTGGAAATCGTATTTTTTGAGAGAATAAACGAAATACGTTCTAAATTACACTTTTTGAAAGGATTCGTGAAAAAAAGGACTCGCCTCGTTTTTTTTTTCTCGGGCCACCTCGAAACGGGTTTGGTGAGTTTTAGATTTTTAAGTACAACTCGAACGCCAAAACGGCTTCGAAAATGGCTCTAAAGGCGAACAAATAGTAAACGACACAACAAAAAAAAACAAGCTGAGTCATTTTTATTTCGAATCTTTTTAAAAAGCGGAATTTAGAAAGCATTTTGTTTATTCTCATACATTCTCTTAAAACATTCAAATTCCAACGAGCTAGAGTCGGGACTCCCCGTGCTTTTTCGCTTGGCGCTAAGGATAAATTTCGTAAAAATAGAAACTCTGCCGCAAATCGCCAGTTATCGACATAAAAACACAAATAGGACCCAGTTCCACTGCGGTTTGTTATGTTTGTTTGTTTTTGTTTTTAAATTTTGTTTTCTGGCTTTCTTTCTCTCTTGGGTTTCTTCTCTTCATTCCTACTACTTGCCCTTCACCTAAACTACGCGAGGTTCTGCGATACACGTATAAAACCCTGCGAGCTGAGGCTTCTTTCCGCGGACATGGGGTTTAGCATTTACGAAGTCATTCGCGTCGAGGACATGTGCGCAGTTGGCTTGTTTACCCCCTGACCATGCCGAAAAGAGACCTCTGCTCGCAGGGAATACACACTCTAATTCTTGCAATTTTCTTCGGGCAGGCCTGTCCTTCATTTATGTGAGAATATTGAGCCACTAGAAAAGAAGCAATCATGTATACTCGTCAACAAGATCAAAATTATCAGACATTTATATTTAAATGAACCAATTTTTCGTAGACGTATATACATACATCACATGAATACACACAAAAGGAAAACTGAAATAACCTTTGTGAAAAGATCACAGGCTGACGTTATCAAAGGATTTGTATTACTTTCAACGGTATACTGAATATTTCTGTCTCCAATTTTTAGTAAAAATTTGATTAACAAAGCTACGTCTTCTCTTTCATTTTGCACAATAAATACAGGTTTAATTGTTACCGATAATAATGATAGATAATATATAACCGCTCAATATTCTCAATATTCCTCAACTGATGTCAGGAAATTTATCGTCCGTAATTCCCGGGTGCCTGAAATAAAATAAAATGAATACAGTAAATTATTATAATTTGCAGCAATAGGTCACTCACTGTAACAGGCATGTATAATATTACCCTGCGACCAGAGGTTTCTCTCTTGCATGGCTTTTAGCGTTTACGTAGTCGTTTGCGTGGCTGGTCTATCGCGTAGTTGAAATGTTTACGCCCCGTTCCTCACGTTTCAAGGTTTCATGGGTATACGTCTGTTAGCAAAGCAAATTCAAAGAAAAGCTTACATTATAGCGAGCTTCTTGTGCAATTACGCAAATCCGGCTAGGAGTACTTTGTTTTAGGCATGCCGTTTTCATTTTTAGGGCTTAACTTTTGAGTTTCAAGCGTACGTTGGCCATGTGGCTACAGTCGATAACGTAGAACGATCTCTGATGTGCCTTGCTAAGGTGAAGTTGTTGGCTTATCGCCACGAAAACTGACTTTGAAATGCATCGACGCGAGAAGTTTCGAAAAACGTCTCCGAGACAAAAGTCGATCTTCACACGCGACTAACTAAACTAATGAAGTATTATAATATATATTTCAACTCGTTTGGAAGAAAATTCATTCCTTACCAGAGCTAAAATTGCTTTTTAGCCTGATTCAGTTGATCGGTTCGACGCGTTATTTTAAGTTCCACGTCTGACCCAGCATCTGAACTTAATTTCGGTCGACCCACATTAGAGTTTGTTTCGGCTCATGAAAAGTTCGATGTTTCAGTAGTTTGACGTAGGCCTAAGCTTTCTGGAGAGAACTATGTATATGCAATGCTAATACCTCTGTAATAATCCATTAGGTCTCATCGCTCAAGGTTTATACTCTTCGAGGCGTATGGTGTATACAGCAATACAGCTATTTCAAAAAACGGAGGAAAAACGGAAGAAAAGCAAATAGTCTTCAAGCCAAGACCCCAAGGTAATGTGGGTAGTTTCAAATCCGTCTTTTTAGAGCAAAAAATCATAATACTAAACTAGCCGTTGATTTGTATTCACCATTGATACTAAACCATAGTTACCATTTAAAAAAAAAACAGTAGAAGCGTACCCTCGTTTTTACAAAGGCCAAAGACAAAAAAGCGTAATTAGCGTAATGCACGTGCAGTGTTTCTTATGCATGCTATTCTAAACATGTTGATTTTTGCCGTTCACGTTTCCTTCGCCGTCGTATTTGGTTAAACCCGCTACAGTTTGAAGGTCCTCCAACCACCTCTAGCATCAGAGTTTTTCAGAGCGTAGGAATCTCCCACATAACGTTCCAGCTTGTTCTCAGGAACAAACGTAAAGTGGTTTCTACTCCATGTACCTCATACCCCAGCACTTCCTTTATCATTATAAAAATCCCATACTAACTTGCAGTCTTGGCTAAAGGCTTCTTATTTTTCTTATCACTATGTTTTTTGATATAACTGTATTCACCATTTTCACACAGGCCATAATGCACCTTGTTTACCCCCACAATTTTGCATAACCATTGTCGGCTTCAATTTCTCTTGGGACGACCGTGATACCCAGTAGAAATTGGAAACAATGGTTAAGCAAAATTCTGGGGAGTAAACAAGATGCATTATGATCTATGTGAAGATGGTGAATGTACTTTTAGCTTTTGCGTAGATGTCGATAGATGGTAAGGTAAGAGCATCGAATTCTTGCTGTACTCCTCCTGTTACATTTGTTACAGTATAATAAATGCATACTTACTTTTTCTTCCACTCTTCGCAGATTTCTAGCAGCGTCTTGTTGCGTTTTGGTCTCGAGCGTCTATGAATTCTGGAATCACAAAGCCCATGATCAGAAATAACCGTGGACTGAACTGTTACATTGTAAAACTGGGAATAACCCTGGTAGAGGAGTATGATATATACTACACCACTGTCACTCGTTTAGATGTTAAAAATCAAGTGAGATGGTATATATGATATTACCTTGGAGTACAAACATCTTTTTCTGTCAATTCTTTCCTTTCAGGTTTTAGTTTCTTTCTCTGACCTCCCCCCTCAGGTGTTAACCGCGGCACCCTCACACCAGACCCGGCCAGGCTAAATTCTCCAATCATCTGATGCACCAATGTCCGAGTTTGTTCGATCTCACTCAACGCCCCTTCGATTCTGTCCAAAGTGTGCATGGCTGTCGTGAAGAAACGAATACCATTTTCTATCCCAGTTCCACCGGCTGTAAGGGGCCTAGATCGAAACTTGAACTCGGTAGGATCGCAACTCTCTTCAGCTTCTTGCTGTCTATCCATGATTACAGAACGGGCCTTACTAAGATCTGAGCTCAGAATGTACATGTAGTTGTCGAGCGTCATAAAAAGGTAATTAGTAAATGGCTTTAATCCAAATTTCTAATTAGTTGCTCAAAGACAACAAACCCTTGAGCATTAGTTTACTTTTCTAAAAAATGGTCTCTATGTTTGTCGGTGGGCGAAGTAAAATTTACTTTTAACAACTGTCTTGATAAAGGTATATTTTAGACGCTAATGTTTTAAACTAACTGGTTGGGCCTCTACTGCAATCGCGCTAGAAACGTTAGCCTTTCGTTTCTTTTGTCTGTCTGTGTCACTCTTTCAACTTAATTCGATGAATCAGTAAAATGTCCCAAGTGAAGTTTTTCTTTTGAACTGATCTCTTTTTACACTATACTGAAGAAAAGCTCTATCTCATTTTGTTTTGTCATAGAGCATCAAGCGGGTTAATTGTTTAGTACGCACCGCATTTTTAGCTATTCTGCACCGCTTTTGGTGTTGGTCACTGACTGAGTTTCTTTATAAGAACTTCTGATAAAAGGAACATTTTTTCAAGAAGTCAAGTCTTACGATGAAAATTGACCGCGGCACAGGGTGAGCCTCCTGAGCGTTTATAAGTAATGTGCACCATTTTCTTGTTAAAATAAGTTCTGTCTTGGTGTTACTTCTTACTAGAGTCTCCCTCAGGTAAAAAAAGACTAAGACATAAAACCTTTTACCACTCCTAGAGGAACAACCAACTTTGAAAGTAATTTCTGCTCAGGGAGTTTGTTGCTCCTTTGCCTTTTCTGCGCATGTCGTGACGTTGTGTCAGGTACCAGCGACAACTTAAGGTTAATTTACATAACTGATCATTTACCGCTAAACCTCCGGCACTAAAGAAGAGTCAAGCCAAGGCAAGCATCGCTATTTTAAGTATCACCTCGCTGAGAATCGTGATGGACAGTTTTAAGATAGAACTGTTACATGGTGATTAACCGTCAAAACCTGCGCGCGGAAGAAAATCGCCCGCGCGCAAATCAGTCGAACTTGATTTCATAAATAGCGTCACAGACGCATTCAAGCGCAAGAAAAGACCAAAATGTCAAAAGAGCGTGATCGTTCGTATCCGTTTATCCTCTGTGTTCCAGAGATATTAGACATGATCCTACGATATCTTCCGGCTAGAGAACTACGCACAACAGCCAGAGTTAACATCTTGTGGAGGAATATTTCTATGCGCATTCTCCATTCACGTACCTCATGGAGCATTTATTACCTCGCTGACAAGCTCATCACAGGTAACGAAATTGACACTATAATCGAAAACATGTACACGGAACCACGATTGGTTATTCACTTAAGCCATCGAGAAATCTGGTTCACGAGGAGAGAACCTCGAAGACGAAGAAACGAAGAGCGCCAACTCGTAAGATCTGTGTTCAATTTATACTCCAAGCTTCCGCCAGGATGCGTTACGCTTGGTTGTACTACCGAGCGTATTGTCTTTCAACAGCCCATTGACGAGTTTACCCCTGATCAGATGCTTCACCTTAAAGCTGGACACGCTTTCATGTGTGCACCTTACATGCCTGGTGTGAAATACCATCATGTCTATTTGCGCACACCAAAACCTCCTTCTGCAAGTAACTGGTGTGCGATGTTTGATCTGCCCGCTGATACACCGGTAAAGTTGGTGATCCTAATTGCATTGTCAGCGAGCAGGGACTTTATTCCTTTCATTGCTGCAGGTAATGTGCGTTTTATTCTTGACAGTTAACTGAAATATGCTTATATTCCAGTAAAAAGTTTTCTGCTTGTGTTAAAGGTTAGTTCGGGCATTCCTCGCCAACCTGACTTCCTAAAACATTTCTAAAAGGGGGTGCCAAGTCAATTTAATTCTTTTTTACGCCATACGGGACATTTCCACACAATTTTGTCGGGACATTTCTTTGTAATTTTTTGGATTTTAGGCAATTGGCGTAGATTCAAGGGAGTTTAATACAGAAAATAACTAAGGCAGATTCATGTTTTTTTCTCGTTCTACATTCTGCATTTGGCGTATACATTCGTCACGTTGTCGAATGAGCTCGTCATTTTGCTTATGCATTCAGTTAGTTTTTTCCTCTATAAAGCTACGGTCCCCTAAAAGTAACGAAAGCCTTTTTACGCTATTTAGACGGGCGCATGTCCAACTTAGTAAACTAATGTTTGAACTTAGCGGAAAGGCGCGGTTTGGCTAGCGATTGAATTTAAAAAAATGGCTGACGGGTTAAATGCGTTCAGCTATTGATGGGTACGTAGCAGATGGTAGACACAAGACCAAATTTGTTTCGCGCAGTATTGAGGAAGTAAAAGGTGACAGTTAAGCTGCAACAGTATTGTGTGCAACAAATTTCTCCACAACGCAGTTTACGCTATTGAACTCTAAAAAGTGGTTCGATATTTAAATTTCACGTTGCAACCATTTCCATCCTTGCCAAAGAAAAATTAAGACTTGCACTTGTTTTTAGGTTGAATAGAAGAGTAATTTTTAAAAAAATCGATTCTCAGTTTTCGGTTTTCTTTGTTTCCTGTGTTTTTAGAGTTTAAAGAAATACACAATACCAAATAATATTATGAATCGTGACACTTTCTTTAACGTCCGACATCATACGGTGCAAAACAGAATCCCGGCATTTGACCTGATTTGACATAATATACCTTCCGTTTCAGGAATCAGGGAGACATATGGTAACCAAGTGGTCGTTTTTGCCGGGGTTGGTCACGACCGTTTATTCATCGACGGACTGGTAAAAAGAGCAAGAGTTGTCGCTATTTTCATTTCTGGCGAACGGTTCCGAGCATGCGCCGGAATATTAAACCGCGGAAACAATGCCGACTTTTACACTCCGGCTCACGAACTCGTAGAAGAAGCGAGGTTAGAAGGATTTTCACCAAAATTCTCGCTACTCTTTACTTCTAGATTCGTTCACAAAGGACAAGCTTTCTATTCTAGCTCTCAAACTGCTTTTAAAGAAGGGTTTTCGAATATTCCCATGCTCGGATTTTATTCATACGGTGAATACTGTCTGACCCCGAGTGACTCTGGGATAACAAGGATTAATGAATACAAACGACATATGAGATACAACTCTGCTATTTACTGCGTGTGTTCCCATAGAAACGAAGCAGAGTAGTAAACGATAAAGTAAAGGAAAAATTCTTGAATATTCCATTTCTATATTTTTTTAGAAGTCGTTGACCAGCAATCCCGAGTAAAATATCCGCCAGCGGAAAAAAAATACAAAATAAAGTAACTTTTAAAATCATGTTCGAAAACCATTTTTATTTTCTCCGAGGTATTCAAGCAAACATGTCATCTATACCTCAACTTGCATCCTTAATTTGGGACGGAAATACAAACAATTTTAAAATTAAAGACCTCCAGGAAGAAACAAATAATTATAATATTTTAATAGAACTTTAAACAACAGACCAAAGTTTCTACTTTTTCAGTTGTATTTATAGTTCCCTGCATCTGAATTTACCGTTATGATAAGAAAAACGTTTTTCGAAAATCAGGGCGCACCGTTTTGTCTCTCAGTTATTTCACAGATAAAAAATAATAAATACTAAATAATTACATAGTAAAGACTAAGCACACCATGATATATCGCGTTGACACATGGCTTGAAACCACTGATGCATGAGCTGATTAGGCGAACTCAAACTTAATGCAGGACTATCTTTCCTTGTTTCTCCTGTGTGAGTCTAAAGCAAAATAAAAGAAAAACAGGAAAGAGAAAGAGGATTGAATAACAGATATTCAACAAATTTATACTAATGATAGTGTGACGAGCTTACTTTTACTAGGTTTTACAAGAACGACCAACCGCTATCAGATTTGTTCTTGGGCGTGCACGAAAATCCTATGGGGTGTGTGGACAAAATTCTCTGATGTAACATTCTAACCTGCATACATGTAGCTCCCAGTGGTAGTTTGGTTTGAAAACTAAGTTATTAGAGGGGGGGAGTATATAATTTGAAATAAGTTCGACACTACTGTCTTCGTCGCTAAAGAAAGACTCTATTTGTCTACTCATGCATTAAACGAGCCGCGAAGCCCACGAGAGGGAAAGTTGTTTCTCCTCCTCATTTCTATCGGCGGCTTCGCCACTCGTTTAAACAGCAAATTCTTCACCGCACTCTACCGACGCCACCTACGCAGGCAAAAATAGTCCAGCGAAACATCTTTTGTTTGTTACCGTTCATCACATTATTGCACTTACCAGGGGAGGGGGGTAAACTCTACGGTATCCTCCCCTGTGGTGATGCTCTAAATACGCAGCTTTGATAAACTCTCGTTCATTCTCCCTAAGACAAGGGTAACATAGACGACATTTCTAAGGAAAGAAACAAAAGACATGGCGCGGATTAACTAGGAAAGGTTAAGACGGAATCCACCAGGAAATTGGGTAATTTTAATTTTCAGTAGACAAAAATCTTGTACCAGAATAGTTTAAAGCATATTACATTCTTTTCTACATTTTTCAAGGACTAGCGCACAGGTTGTCGAAACGTCAGTCAATGTCAACAACAGTCCTATTCAGGACTACGTTCAGCCGGACGATCATACTCAGCCTATTTATGAAAAGATTCCAAAGCAAGGATAAGATGATGACTGAAAATAACCACAGGACACCTACCTCACTATAACAGCTCTTGGAACATTCTTTACTTGAACAGGTCTCGTACAAAACCTGGGTGTCGTGATCACTGACTAACATGTCTTTTTCAGAAGGCGAGCTTTGAAAGCAAGGTATCTGTTATTAATACAACTGACTGTGAATTCTTGACTGTTAGCAAACATTTTAAGACTTTGGAGGAGTTTCCTTACCTGTACTTCAAACTATGGTCCAATCTAGTAGCTACTCCCACTAAACCAAGAAGATTAAACACAACCTAACAAATATAATAGAAAGTTAACATTAACCATATTTAAAAATGCTAAGTAAACCCAGTTTCACTTATTTACATGTACATCTCATTTACATGTACATCTCATTAAAAATACATGGTCGAGTTGTTCAAAGCTGGGTTAAGATAACCCAGGGTTAGTGCGAGATTTGAATTCAGATTTGAAAGCTTAAAAAGCATTTCAGTTTTAATTCTTTTTGTCTACAAGTTGATGTTTGAAAGCTCTAAATATGACAGAGAAAATTATCCGAGAAAATGCTTTTGAACACAAGAAAAAGAAACCCGGGTTAAATTTAACCCCCGGTTAAGCGCTAATCGGCCTTCGAACAACTGGGCCCTGAAGTATAACAAAACAGCATATTTGTTAAATTCCTCTTTCTTTGTTCACTCATACCGGATATGGCTTCTGTTCACACACAAGAACGGTTTTGGTGGCGCGATTTCAGTGACGGAGTCAAGCTGCGTCGCGCCGATCTCGAAAGTGGAGAATCACATATCGGATAAGTGCAATACTTTGGTGCAGTGTGAACACCTATTCAACGGAAGTAAATAAGTAGTATCGAGAACTGGGCTCACTGAAATGGAAGTAAATATTGAGGAATAGTGAGGACTGGAATTTCGTGTAGCAAACGATGTGCGTGAACGACTTGTGGCGGCCTGGGGCCCGTTTCTCGAAAGTCCAGGTAACTTTTCGGGCCCGAAATCAAAAATTCAAATCGAAATATAAAGAATGAGAGCGCCGGTCCTGGTTAGCAAACTACTCCATTTTGTTTTATTAACTGGTAGTTTTATCATGTTCGATGCAAAACTATTGAAACCTTAATCTTTAATGTAAACGGAGACAGCTTACCGGGCCCGTTAATTATCGGGACTTTCGAGAAACGACCCCCTGGGCCGTTCCTGTTCATACTACACCCAATAGTTTTTCGTGGCGTCGCAAAAAACTATCCATTATAGTGTGAACATAGACTAGATTAGATTTCCCACAATCCCGCAATTCTGAAACCCAAACATGAAAAGCAAGTTATTACGGTACCACTGGTAAGTACTACTCAGTATCTCTCCCATGATTTCAATGGCCAAAAACTGGAACTACCTTGTACACCACAGTAAACCGTAAAACAGGAAAGTACTACTCAGTAGCCTTCATTTTAATGCTCACACTTAAGCTTTTCACCCACAGACTCAAAAGTAGAACCACCTTGCACAGCATAATAAACAGTACCACAGGAAAGCACTGCTCAGTAACTTTCATTTTAGTGGTTACACTTTTTCGTTTCCGCCCACAGAATCAACACTGGGACAACTTTGCATGGCATAATGTAAAGTACAGGAACGTACAGGAAAGGCTAATGTTGCGCTCGACTTGTAGCTTTCACTTGAATTAACATTCAAGATGAAAGTGTTAAGGTACGAAAAAAACTACAAATAAAGAAACCAAAAACGAAATACTACATGAAAGTACTCCTTACACACAGTTCAAGTACAGGTCTACTCAGAAGCTGTGATTATGGAGGAGACTGAGAATACTGAGACAAGCTACTAGCATACCTGTTCATACATGAGTTTATTATGTGAGTGTGCTGCTGAAGACAGGTTAGGGGACATATTCACCTAAAAAATACCAGGTAATATTAGGATTAATCACATTACATTGTATCTCAGCCATGATGCAGTTAAAGGCTGTAACAACAAACACTGATTACCTCCATAAGCCATACTTTCATGTCGGCGTCAAGGATAAAATCAAAACGAACCATCTCAAAGAAATTTCTGCAAGAATAATCAAGATGGAAAACATCAGTAGCCTATTCATGTCTTTATACTCGTGTCAGTAATTTCAACTGTTATCTATCGTTTTTACGGACTTGCACCATAGTACCAAGTCTCCCTTTACTAGTCGTTCACTGTTCATTATATCTATACAAAAATATGTAGTTTTATGCCATCGTCATCCATAAGAATTTATTTTGAACAGTTTCAACACTTTCTTTCCTACTGTTTGAACTGAATTGTCAATTTGAGACTGACGCTCGCCATTTGCCCTAAAAGTGGTTCTAAAACTCCCTAATGCGTTATGCCTTGTTTGAATTACGGCACCCGCCTTTCACAAAAGTTGTCCACTTACCTCGTGGATCTGTAAGTTGCACCTGCCATAATCATATCTGGCTCCTTTCTTAAATAAACCTATGAAATAAAAAAGAATTTTAAATAAATTAAATTGAGTAGGTAAAAAATGCGATTAGGCTTTTGTACAGCTCCCTGTGCAGGCCCGGTTCGTATGAGCAGTTCGTATGCTTTCTAAATGAACGACCAGGAAACGCTGCAGCACTGAATAACGACACTCGATCCTAAATGAATAAGGGTAGTTGGTACCAGTTTATACCAGAGATAACTTTGATTTTATGATTTGTCTATTCGTTCGTCTAAATAAAATTTCATCATCATCATCATCACCAACGTAATCGTAATCGTCATCGTCATTTGTTTGTTTTTCCTAACAAATGTACAGTACAATATTTAAATCCAATGAAACAACAAACTAAGTAGTCATTACCTCTGCAATGGCTTTGTAAATATCATTCCACATCTTATTAACATCTTTACCTACAAGACAAAGCGCCGCCTGGTTAGCTCAGTTGAGTGAGCACCGGTCTGCTGAGCGGGAGGTCGCGGGTTCAAACCCCCGCCGGACCAACACTCAGGGTCTTTAAATAACTGAGAAGAAAGTGCTGCCTTTGTAATGACATCTGCAAATGGTTAGACTTTCTAGTCTTCTCGGATAAGGACGAAAAACCGTAGGTCCCGTCTCATAGCACTTTCACTGATTTGTTCTTGTGGGACGTAAAAGAACCCACATCACTATTCGAAAAGAGTAGGGGTCGTAGACCCCGATGGTGTGGCCAACCTTTAAGGGTTGTGGGAGTGGGTTGGGATGGCACCTCGCATGGGACCCATGAGTGCCGTTCGTGCACATTCCCTCTAGGCAGGCCTGTGTCCAGAAAAGCTGGTAAATAAGATAAGAGGAAATAATACTCATGTTCATGTCCGCTTTATTAAATCTGACAAAGAAATAAAGGAGCAGTAACATACCATTTTGTTTAAGGTATGTGTTTAGTAAAAGTTTCCGACTGTACTTTCCGTTTTCCCATAGTTTCTTCAGAGATGGTAACTGAAATAAAGGCAAGATAACCAAATTTGCTGTAGAAAAATCCAACCAGGTGACAGCTGAGGCTAACAGAACGCAAAATACTGGACTAAATATTGAATTAAGGATGGTAGACCGTTATTAAGAGGAGAAAGACACCTAAAAACAAGAGATGAAAAGGGAACAGAACAGAAGGGAACAGAAAAAAAGGGAAACGAAAGTGTAATTAAAGGAAATGAAGTGAATCAAAGGGAATGGAAGAAGGGCAAGGAAGTTAATGAAATAGAAGCTTTTTTTTGTTGTTTTTTCTACTTTTGCAATTTTGAAACTGTCCATAACATACTGTTTCTAAGAGAAATTAAATATTATTTCTATTCATGTTTCAGGGTCTCTGTCAGCTATATATTAAAGTTTATCTCATTGTACAAAAATGTTTGCAACTAGTTAAATGAAATGAGAAAGCAAAGAAGAAAAACCTGCAACAAAATAGACAAAAGGGAAGGAATGGAAAGGGAAACAGAGGATTTTAGCTGTAATACCTCCCAGGGTTGTGTGTAAGCATCTTCCACAACATACTTCTTAGTATCTTCCGGATCAAATGGATAATAATCCTTCTCACAAAATCTACAGAACAAAAATAGCGATGTTCTTCTTACAGAGTACTACAAGCATCTCAGAGGATTGTTTCCAAACAACATCACCATATCTACAAGTACATGCATGGCTTTCTAAGGTTTGACTGAATGGGAAGGTTTAGCTATCAGACCCAAGCAGGGGCACTACAATACCTCTGTCCAAAGTGCTTCAAGACTCTGAGTAATTCCTTATTTCAAGTGTAAAACGGAACAATATTATTGAGACTTAACGATAGAATCTAGCCTCAAAGCCATACTCCTGATCACATCATGAAAAAAAAGAAAGATTTAAAATGAAAACTGCAAGGCCTTCATAGAAGGCATATTCAGCTGCTATAATGATATCACTTTTATGAGAGTGATTCACTTACATTCAGCTTATGAATACAAAATGGCTAAAACAAGTCATACCTAATTAGAACTTCTTGGTCATAGACATAAACTCTCAGAGGATCAATAGATGTAAGTACAGTGTACAGTCCAATGTCAAACTTCCGTTTATCAATGAGAAGTGGGTTAGCAATGTACTCCTGGATAAAATGATCGTCAGATCCCTTGTTCAGATCAAGTTCTGTCAAAAGAAACCATAAAAATGAAGACAAAATTAGACAGGAATTATACACTCATGAACTAGGAAATCTGAGTAGTACCTTTAAGAGACTTGATTCGTATTCCTCTATGATTATTACTCTTCTCCACCCACAGTTTCTGGGGATGGTTTTTTATCTGTAAATCATAAAACTAGCTGAGAATATTGAATCAATATAATAATAATGAAGATGATGATGATTTATGTCTTGCTAATATGACCAGTCATATTATTAAGAAGACAATATTGCCAATCTTAATTTTGTTTGGCCAGGCAACATGACCAGCAGCTGTTACTTTCAGCCCTGTAAGCCTTGTCAGCAGTTCAAATTCTGAGTTATGGCCCCAAAAGATCTTTTCAAACTTTTAAGGTCCATTGGTTGAACATATTATTCTGTGGTATACATGTATTTTATTTAACAATTATTCCACAGGGGCGCATTGGATATGAGATGGTAGATAGGCAACAAGGCGCGTAGCGCCGAGTTGGCTATAATCATCTCGTATCCAACAAGGGCGAGTGGAATAATTGTTTTATTAAAAATGCCCACAAAATCTTGTTGAATCTCCCCAACTAGAACAAACTGGAAAAGACAAGAGACTTCCGTTATTCACATGTCACACGTATATCAAAACTGTCAACGGATTCGCCTGGACTGCATGAATGAAAAATCAAAACATTGTAGCGATGAGCATTAGTTTTTTAAAAACTCATTGGGATTCTAGGATTTTACACAGCAGAACAGCTAAAAAAACCTGGCAGATAATGTAAAGGAAAAGAATTTTTAAGTAAAAACCGTCGAAATTACTGTGAATTTGGATTTTCGGTGCAGTTATAAAAGTAAGAACAACGGAGAAAAACTATTACCTCGGTCGCTTGTTATGAAGTTGTTTGAAGCCACAAGCTGGTTTTGCTGAACGAGAAAAGAAGCTATACTGCCGCCTCGATTGCTCTAGTGAATGGCTGCATAGCCTCTATTAATATTGTAGCTGGTTAATTGTGATTTATATTTTTGATGTCGGATAAACGAGCCGCAGTTATCTATCGGCGAGTGACTCGATCGGCAAATGGCTTCACGATCATGAAGAAACAACACTTGTCATCTTTCGTAGCTGGTCAAGGTACTTTAGTTCCAAGAGTTTTCATGTGTTTTTCGACAAACTTTCAAACAAGCTCTTGTGGGTTTTTTGTTTGTGTTTGTCTTTTTTCTTTTGATGAAATTGCATTTCTAGTATTCTAAGAAATGAATTAAAACAATTTGCTTCGGGCGCCGTTCTATCCTTCGCGAAAAAAAATCTCAGCTGGCTTCCAATTTTAAACTGACGCATACACCAACCATATATGGAGAGCATGGTATAATAGCTCATATACCATAACGGCTAAGCCAATCAAAATGCTAGAATTGCAATATCCAATGATTCAGTTTTTAATAATACATGTGATAACATGTACTTAATTAATAGTGAATATTGAACTTGCCTCTTCCAAAAATTTGTCAGAATCCTTTGGTATCACAAAGGCTGGTGGAATAAATGGAAAGTGATTGACAGCCAAGCTTACTTTGTTTGTTATGTAACCTGATCCAGGAAAATGATTAATCTGGAAGAAATAGATAGCATAATTTAGAATAAAATACTTTGGTAGTCTCAAAAATCTTTAAAAAAAGATTAAGGATTAAAATAGTATTTTACAAGGCTAAATGGTTTTAAACTATTTAAAATAACCAAATAATTTCAGGTACAGTGGAACCCTGCCTAACAGCCACCTCAGTAATATGGTCACCTCATTATTACAACCACTTTTTTTGGCCCGGCAAAACAGTCATACATTTTCTTGTAAAAAAAACGTTTATTCGATCACACATAAATACGGCCAAGTCAGCCATGTTTTAAAATCCCAAACAGTAGAATCTTTTACCCAGTTAATGTGGCCACTTGTATGAAATGTAGAAAATTAAAGTGCCTGTGACATGTTAATGTCAGTGATCTAGCAAGAGCTTGTTCTTGTTCTGTCTTCAGACTACAGTACACCTAAAATTCATTTGTTGCAGTTAAATGCCAGTGTTTTATGTACTAAAAAAAAGTTTCAAGTAGTTTTTGCAATTACTGTGCATGATATCTACATTCCGGTTGTTTATTGGAGAGAACAGTTGTTCATATTCATGAATTAGGGCTAGGAAACAAAGGAAATTGAGAATCAATGTAGGTTAAATCAAAATAAACCTGAAATCAAATTTGACCTGTAACATATACATGTAAACTCAGTTATAGTTCAGCCTCTTGCAGTTCAGATTCCAAGAATAACAAAAGTATACATATCAGTGAGTTTTGATGAAAAAAAAAAATGAGAAGTAGAGTTTTAGTTTGGCTTAATAGAGTGCTTATAATGCTTTTTCTTTACTCATGCATAATTTGTGAAGAATATAGTAATGACTGTTATAAAGACAGACCCATTTAAGAGGGAAAGATCAACTTTTGGTCATTTTCAATGAGGTTTTAATAAGCTTGCTATTATATCTAATAAATTTCTAACCTTTTGATGAGGTTCTAAATTTTGCAGCATTTCTTTAAGTTCACCAAATGGATAATCATGTGACCACATGACGTCAAAAAGTCGATTACGTGATTCTGTCCGGGTGTAACCAATGCGGCTGAACACAGCTATCACATGATTCAAGTAGCCTGTTCTCAGCTGCAATGAAAGTTAGAATATTGCACTTTTTATGATTTCACTTTTCCTGAAATTTGTACCTCTTAGTTTGAAGAGTCTACAGTCTGTCTTTCTGTTAAAAGTTGCAAAAAAATATTAAACATACCTTCATGAGTGAGATATGGATAAGAGAATCTATGCATAGTTTTAGATAATCATGCATGTATAACAAAGACATATTTATTGCAGGTACAAAAAGAAAAAATCATTGAGGATTTTTCAAGCAATTTGTTCAACAAATGCAAAGCCTCTCTGAGTTCAACAGACGAGAAAACACTGCAAAGTCCATGACTAGTAAAGGTTTCTTACATTTTTGCCATTAATCCAAACAATTGGTCTGCTTGAGCTTCCAAACTCGGGATCACCAACAGCCAAACCAGCATTTATGCTTCTTAGCTGATAAATATTTATTAGAATAAGAAGCACACCAAAGCACAGGCACCCCATCATAAGGTACATCATACGCTGAGTCATGTGGAATCCAAGATGAGGGTGCGGATGATACTTGGAGTTATCTGATGCATACTGCAAACAAAAAGGCAAACATCAGTCATGGAGGCTCAACATGTACAAGTATATGTCTACTATGGGCTGATTACATCACAACAAACATTAATCTTCTTATAACTTACAACTATCAGTCTCCTTATCAACTAAGGCAAAACTACATTGTTCATGTAATTTGATGCACTTGTACAGTCAAATACAATAATTACTTATATTAGAGGATTGACCCTTGCTAGCAGAGTTTTCTTTGCTGCTACCGTTATATGTGTTTTAGCTAAGGACAAAAATGTAATGAATACTCTACCCGTGATTTAAAGCAGAACTGAGCATGCACCACTGGTGTTGCTAAGTGACTAAACAGTTTAGTACATGCTTTTTAAGCCCACTGAACATGATGATGTGAATACTCTGTGATGCATGAAACAAACAATTGCAAGGCTGTTTTGAATAGGTATCACAGCAAACAAAAGCTGCAAAAATATTACAATCATTTTTCATTATCAATCATGAAGAATTTTTAACCCCCTATTTTTGTGGTTAGAAATAAAGTTTTACGAGATCTCTTATTTAAGGATGATATATTTGTTCACGTTTAATTTTAATTTTCACTTCTCTGTTCAATCAACCATCTCAAAGCATTCACCAAATTTGATGAGTCATCCTGTGTAATAACCAAGACAAAAGCAGTAAAATTTTACAATTTCCATATGAGTTTAGCTGTCCAGTTTACAGAAAAAAGAAATGAATTAAAAAATTGGATTTTCAAAATAACCACAAACTGAATAACACATGAAAGGCATAAAATAACAAGAAGAGTTGTCAAATATGGCACTTTTTCAGATTAGCGATAAAAAATTAAGGGGCCGTGTCAAAAGAACTGTTTAATTGTTTGTGTTTTGTTTAGCCATAGCTAGTATGGTTTAGCTGACGGCGCGACATAAGGCAGCTGTCATCAAAAACTTCTCAACACAGAAACGACTCTATGGCAACAAATTCTGCAAGGAGAAAAATTACAATTACAAAAAAGGATATTCGTTCGTCAAGTTCTAAACTAATTACTAAATTAAGTCCCAACTTAGCATTCCATTCATCATATTCTGTCTACTATTTGTAATAAACAAGGTAAGCAAAAAGTAGCCAGCAGCAACTGAAAGTTAACAAATGAGAAAAGGCAAACTTGCATTGAGTCAGCCAGTCGATATTTTAACAAAAGAGCCGTTTTTTTATCTTCCACACTGTTCCCTTCACCTTGTTTCATTTTCTTACCTTAAATTCTGATGAGCGTTTAGAAGACTTCCAGGGCCACATTGTAAAAGAACAAATCAAAACGGTGCACTGAAGTAACTGAGCGTGAGTAAAATGCGCTTGCCAAATGGCAGCGGTTCGTGACAGGTTCGCTCACGTGCGTTGTTCGAACTTTTTTCCAGCCTGAAAGTCAAGGTTGAAGTAATGCGGTCATAATATTGGCTCTTCAATACTTCGTAAATAATTGAGCTTTATCCGTTTCCTCGTGAAAGGCTATGGTATGATATTCAAATGAATTTAGAACAACAGGAGCAAAGAGATTTCACCAGTTTACATGTACCTTGCGTTGAACCCTTCTTGCGTTACTGAAAGAGCTGAGAGAGACTGGTAGCGACGTTTGGTAGGTACTTCACACACTTCACATATGATTCCCACGTTTGTATTTTACCGCTGACAAATTTTTCGATTACACAGCAGGAGCAGTCATTCGCTTTCGTTCCTGGTTCACAAATCCTGACACAAACTGCAAACGAACTCGCTTTTCAAGACCTTAAAGAAAGGCAACAATGAGATTTTTCTTAGCCTTCAAACCCCTACTACCAAAATTCAGTGGGTATAATCCGACTTTGCCGAAAAACACCCGTTGGAGGAAGTTGAGAGGATGGACACTCATAGCAACATCATCAGCACCCGAGGGGGGGTACTCCCGCGAATTTTGGATAGGGGTGTGCTGCGAAGGTTCGTGAACCCTAACCCTATTTAAGGACTGAGAAAGCGACTTGAACTGATACCCTTTTTAAGGCCCAAAGCCGAAAAATGACACCCTATTCAAGGAAAAAACAAAATTATTAATAGCATGAAAAGGAAAACTTTATTTCTTCTCTGTAACATTAAATGTATAGCAGGGTCGTAACATGGTATATTTGGGACCCATTGATCCCTATTTTCTTGCCGTTATTTTGATCCCTGAGCCCCATTTTCCCCCAAATTTTGATCCCTGAGCCCTGATAAAAGAATTGATCACATCCATGTCTTTACACAAAATTTTAACTTAGGCAACTTTGTTTATCTCCAAATATAGAATATAGGACATGCTCAAATGGGCTGATGAGAAAAACATTAACTTTAATTTTTAGTGCAAGTTGTAGGTTCTATCAGAGCTTGCTATTCTGCTATTCCTGTTGATGTTGTAGTCTTATGTGAATTTCCTCTTTCACTCTGTGTATGTTACAGTGAGGATCACGATCAATTACCAATAGCAAAATACCTGCTTTACATGAAGTAAAAAATTAAATGAAGCCAAAGGTTCTACTGTTTAACAGCTTTTTTGTGTCAAGCCCATTAATGGCTTTTCCTGGCTTAATAACCATTGTAGATTGTCGGAGGACATATCTGGTTGTAGGTCTTCCAGACCTACTCCTTCCAGCTTCAAATGTAATTGGCTCTGAAAAGTTGTCCGCCTGACCTTGCTCCCCTTCCTCTTCGTCACCACCTGACGCAGGTGAATCATCTGATTCAACTGACCCCTGGAGCAATGCAACTAGGCGTTGCTGTTCAAGGCAGCTCAAACAGAAGTTGTTTCCATCTTTTATTATTTAAACGTTCCCAATGATACACTTAGGTGAATTTCTATCCTCACGGTGCCCAGTGTGCTATACAAGGGGATCTTCTTCTGACTGTTCCAGCCATCTCAAACCATGTGATCTTCCAGGAATGCATCACCATTATGGTGGAGATCCTTTAAAAGAACTGCAAGGAAGAAAGGAATGATATACCTCTTGTAATTGTGCGTAAGAGCAACTACGTCGCCTTTTGAATAGATAATCTCAATTCTTCAGCTGCGTCTTGAACTGTAGTTTGTTCTTCACTCTTTTGAACCTCTTTCAGCAGATCGACTTTTCCATATGCCGACGCATTCCTTCTGAACATACTCAGANTCTATAAAGTCTTATAAGGCAAAGCGCTTCCTGAGCTTCCTTCCTAGAAGCCATTATCTCAGCTGTAATCTTTCACGACTGATTAATTTACTGTTTGGAGTCAGCAGCCATTTTCCATTTCTCAGCAGTGTTGTTTCACAATGCATTTTCCTATATGGGGATAAGCAGTTATCAAGAATAGGGTCGAAAAAGGCATTGACTTGTGTGCTCAGCAATTGTTCATACACCTTATCCACTATACCAAGAGAGGATAAAGGGGACAGAGAAGGCATCCACCATACACACCCTATTCCATAGATAATTCGTCTCGAGTTATTTTTAAGACCACAGATCCCAAGGGGGATTAGACAACAGCCAATCATATAGCGCGAATATGTTCCGCGTGGATGACCCACCAGCAGAGTCACGCGTCCTTCACAAATTGACGCAGAAAAAAATGGCGCAAGACGCGGAGAGCGATATTGCCATTCGTTTTGTCGACGAAAACGACTAAAGAGAGATTTCTGCTAAAGCTGTGTCAGCGAAACGGAAATTAAAGAAGAATCGCCCTTCCTCTCTTGTATAGAGCTAACAGTACAGCAGGGAAATCTTTAACATATTGAACATTCTCTCAGGATCATTTATGATTTACAGTTTGCAGAGAGCGATTTCTGGTTTGATATTTAGTCTTTTATTAGTCTCTTATTATTCAACAAAAATAACACTTGGTGTCTTATAATAATAATAATTTAATAACTTCTAGAGCGCTATTTACATTCACTGATCAACAGCGCTTAACAACTTAAAAAAACTACAGTAAAATTCAAATTTGTAAAACTAATTACATGTACATGAATATTACTTGCTACTTGCTTTATTGTACAAACGACCGGTTTCAATAGACCGGCGAAATTTTTATTAAAGCACTGAGGTTACGATAACTTCGAGTTGAATATAAAGCAGAACCATCCTCGGAGACCAAGGGGCAGATGGTGGGGGTGAGGGAAAGTCTAAACGGGGGGGAAAATATGGCACGAAGAAAAGTAAAGAACGGCGAGAAGAGCCCCTGGGGACAAAGTCTTACCAGACAAGTTCCAAACGATCGCCGCCGTTCTGCTTTCTGATTGGGCAGAAAAAAAAACAAAAGTTTTCTGGCACCAATCAGAAGTCAGAACGGCGGCGACCGTTTAGAACTGGTCTGGTAAGACAATGTCCCCAGGGGCTCTTCTCGCCGTTCTTTACTTTTCTTCATGCCATATTTTTCCGCCCGTTCAGACTTTCCCTCGCCCCCACTATCTGCTCCTGGGTCTCCGAGGATGAAAGCAGAACAAAATCGCTGTCGTGAACTGGGTGTTTTGCCGAAGTTTCATAGTGAATCCTTTGTGAAAATACACGAATATCCAAGTGCTGATGACTTTGAAGGCAAGAAAAGACTTCATGGTGTTTAAGCAGTGTAATTTATTGTGAAGTGGTTCACTGTAGCTGACTTTTTGTACGCTCAAAGCTATGTTTACCACTACAGAGGAAAACGAGGTCGCTTTGTCACTGTTTTGTGATTTCGGGATTTTTTCACAAGACCAATTTTGCCTATAAATAGAAGTTAATTTATGGAGAAAAAAGGAAGGCAAATATTTTCGAAAATTGTACGTGCCAGCCATTTAGCAAGGCAAAGAATATTGTCACCTTGGTCGTAGCCGCTGTTGACAGTATTTGCAAGAAGCGACAAAGAAAAATTTTTCATTCACGGTGCGTTGACAGAAACAAATAAAGCTCTACTTTTCTTCTCAGAATTGTGTAGTAATTTAAATTTTCGGCCTTTTCTTTTAAACCGTTGATGGTAATTTTACAAAACTCGATACAAAAAGATTAAAACTATCATTTGCCATGTTTGAAGGTACTGTAAAGATCTAACTTTTGCGCATCCATTGTTTACAGCTTCGTGTTCACGCATGAATTCACTCGTCAATCAAACTAATCGTTTTTTAATGGTTTCCTTTCTGATTCTGTTGAGATCACTTCGTGTGAATATACTAAAACAATTATTCACCTCAGGCTCAGTTAATATTGTTGAATAATCCCCTCGACTTCGTCTCGGGGATTATTCAACAATATTAACTTCGCCTTCGGAGAATAATTGTTAATTATTATTCAGTCAAAATATTTTCCTGATTCTGATTGGCTAAAAGCACACGCATAATTCACCATAACCAGTTTCTGATGACCAAATTTAGAAGAATTTTGTGTTTAACGTGGAAATGACGTCAAAAATGCAGCGTTCGTGCAGGTTAAGGCACCGTTAACCGAGAAGACCTGCGGACGAGGTTGAGTTGTTTTGGTTGTGAACTTGAAAAATGGCGGACCTTTCACTCGTTTCGAGAGTAAGAAACTAGGCGAAAAAATAACTAAAAACATGCCAAGAACAGCAAGACTCGAAGGGCGTCATCTTCTATTTATAGAATATTTGCGGAGCTGGACAAACCTAAACGTGCACTATCGAAGATGAACTTAACATCGATGGATCGATGGAGGTAGGCATGTTTTTAAACTAGGAATTATTTGACTGAATAATAAAACAATTATTGAATTCGGCTTTCGTATCATATGAAGAATTATGGCGATCTCGGAGGGTGTTATCCGCCTCGGCCACCGGCCTCGACGGATAACACCCTCCTCGATCTCCATAATTCAAAGATACTCAGCCTCATTCATTAATTGTTATTATTATT